AACGCCGAGAAGACGTTCTCGATGGGTTTAGCATGGGAGAATATGGGCCCAACCGTAACAACAAAGTGTCAAGAAACTCAGTCTCCTCAAAGACCTGTTTAGCGCGGCAGTGACAAAGAGCATTATCTAGCGTAAGCACAACGGCATCGAGACCAAACTCGGTGGCGTCACGAATATGGCGCAGAAGACTGTGGATGGAGTCATTCGTGTTTGCATGTCGATTTCCTCCGAATTTATCCTCGAAGTAGACAAGTCCGTGTTCACTTATGCACGCAATGACGTGCATGTTTTGACCACCACCCGCAATCACTTTCTTCACAGCTCGACGCCCACGTTAACTTCGCCCTCGAGTACCCGTAGTCCAGAGATTAAAGTTCGTTTCATCCATATAGAGAATCATCTTTCCGGTGGCTTGATATTCCAGAAGGTGGATGGGTTATTCGTGCCGCTTGAACTTGTTTGCCATGGTGTTCATGTACTGCGGCTTTTGGTGAAGCTGCTTCATAGTTAAACACGCTCCATCTACGTGATTTTTTCCGTCTGCGGTGACACGAAGACCCGCACCATGCTCCAGCATGTCGCCGAGCTGGCTCAACGTGAGATCGCGGTCATCGCGCAGCTTATCTAGTAAAAACTTGATCAAATCGGGCTGCACCTTAGCGCATGTGTTGCGCCTGCCTCACTCGGTTGTAGCGGCTCGTTGTGGGCCGCACTCAATTTCGTGCCGTAACCAGCTTGACGCCGGGATTACCGGCAGCGCTTTCCCACACACACACACACACACACACACACACACACACACACACACACACCATTGCGCGTGGTTTCGACGACCCGAAGCTTCGTTGCAATGGCATAACGTGCGTACTTGACCGGAATCCGGAAGTTTGGATTGGCTAGGCTTAGATGTGCTTGCCGCAATGCAAATTAGGGACTGAGACTGCTGAGAGGAGCACCCGCAAGCGCGGCCTCTACAGAGCGGTTTGGCGTAAAAGCTAGCGCGCAAGAGCCACTCGTCCAGTGCAGTTCGCGCGCGAGCTGACGTTTGGCGGGCTAAACAGCTTGAAGTTGGGGTCTTCGATTGGTTTTTCAATTTTATTAAAATTCGAATATAAGTTGCTGCAGTGCTTTCACGAATTTGCATATGCTCTCTACGCTCTTGTTTTTGCACTTGCTGAATGTTAATTACTCTTTACAAAATAGGAGTGATAAAGGTGTGCTGTTTCTGTCGGGAATCTAGTTTCTATAAACTGCTTTTAGCGGGACAAATTACTGCTAGCTGGCTTACTGGTACTGTTGAAGTAATTACTACTTTAGTCAATTAAGAGTGAATATATACTACTCTTGTCAAATCCCCTTAAATCCATAGATTAGATCCCCGTATGTAGTTCGCGAACTGAAGTACTCAACTACAGGATTGAACAAATGACTTTTGGCCTTAACAACTTATCAGGAGGTAAAACTCATTATAATGTGCACGATTAATCCCTGGTAGTCTTATATAACAATAGTATCAAAGTTAATAGGAATTATTTGTAAGGTTTGATGACCTGAGTAATTTTGGGTTCCTGCGTATAAGCCTAAAAGTCTGGATATAAAACCCAGAGAACATCGGTGAGTTGGTGTTAATTGTATGTAAGTTATTGAGGGAACTGAATGTATCCTACAGTGCGCGACAGCTTGTTATGACCAGCCACATTTTTGGTCGTAGCTCCCTCAATTTTGCGAGTTGAAGCTTGCTATTTAGATATCTTGTTTAAAACGTAATCGCGCTTTTGAGACTTGTTTTAACGACGGCGATTTCGCATTTTGAGAGGGGTCTAGTGTACAAGCCACCACATTTGTGTCTGCGTCCATTAATAAGACCACCCAGCCCATTACAAACAGCAAGATAAAAAGTGAAATGGCTACATCACTCCCAACTATTTATTCAGCAATTGCCACTAGCACTCTACGCCTTTCATTCATTGTTTTGCCTCAATGGGGCTGGGGTCAGCACTTTCGGACGAAGAGGAGGGAAGGATCAAAGGGCTGTACGAAGCTGGCTGCAGTGAGCGCGAAATTGAGTGACGTGTTGGCCGCTCTCGTGAGGCTGTTAGCCGCGTACTTTTTGGAGGCGAGAGAGAGCGAAAAAAAAAGCCTGGACCTGCTGCTGCTCTGAAGGAGCGAGAGTTTCCCTTGCTACTGTGCACAGTAGCCAAGAGCGACTACTCTGCACGGTGGCTCAAGAGCGAGCTTAGTCTGTCGGCATCGGTGCGTATTATTCAGCGAGTGCTTACCGGTGTCGACCGGCTGGTCTCTACTAAGATGAACAACAACTTGCCGCTCTCTGGGAAGGACAAAGTGGCCAGGGAAGAGTGGGCGTTGGCGAGGATTTTCAATACGGATGCCGCCGGGTCCTGGAATGCCATTATCGTCTCGGACGAGAAGAAGTGGAATCTTGATGGGCCTGACGGCTTCCAGACTTTCTGGCGGGACATTCGCCAGCCGGTTCGACGAACGAAGCGTCGGCAGGCTGGTGGCGGAACCGTAGGGAGACGCTGGTACCACAGAATCTAGAATTCAGATTTTGTGTGATTATTGTCAAATTTTGTGTAAGTTTGGTGGACTAGATCAAGCCGGTTTTCAGTGGTTTGGGTTGAACTTAGAGACAATGGAAGATAAATTCCGAGATAAATTTCCTTGCCTAACTTTTCAAAATAAAACTGGCGCCAGATATTAGAGGCTGTCATTCGCCGATCCTCTCCGTCAAGCACAAATACAGTGACGAACCGCAGATCGCCATGGTAAGTGATGCAACATGCCTGCATTTAACCTACCGAAACTAACACTACTTCAACGCAGGTGCAAGATGGTCCTTCGCGATATTCGAATGCAGGTGTGAGTGCCACAACGGAGCTGGAACCCAGCGCAAGGAAGCGGAAACCTGCAAGTCCTATTCTC